TTAGTGAGTGTGCTCCCTCGAAGTCTCTGCACGTCATTTTGGACTGGCATCAAAGTCGCTTCAGATTTGCCTTTTCACGCTCAGGTTTTTTGTGCCGCAACCAAATCTATGAAAACCAAAGTTTGCAAATTAAGTATAAAAACTGCAGTCTCTGTTCAGTTGGAACCTACATGTCTGCTGATGGAAAACACTGTTTAAAGTGTCCTGCAGGTAATGAAAATGATAACCTATTTCATCGTTAATGTAAATAATGATATAAATAAGATTTAGATTTAGATAGCGCCATTTCTATAAAGTATCCAACAGCGCTTTTCAATATTGGAAGTTATTTAATAAAATAATGAAGAATAGAATATCAATTATATCAAAGAAAGGTCTATGCCACATGATGAAAACTTTATAATATCTCGACCAAACATTCGTTTCGGGGGTCAACGACTTGCTCTTAAAGTTCCTGTAGGTAAATAAGCGCGATATCGTTCATAGATTTGAAAGTTAAAAGTAGAGTTTTATAATCTCTCTGCTCGGCTACTGGAAGCAAATGTATCTTTCCCAACTTTCTCATTATCATAACCAAAAGCAATCAACAAATAATAACTTGAAACCCTGCACAAACAATAACATTTATAACAATGTTTCTAATCTGTAATTGTGTTCAAAAATTGAATCTCTTCCAATATACCCGCGTAGCTGAATCCTTGTTTTATGATATGATATCTTCACAGGTGGCTTTTATCAGGATGAGATGGGGCAAGTTGAATATAAAAGATGCAGTAATGGTACGTACGTTTCTGAACAGCGAAGTCCTGGAACCAAAGCTACCGACTGCGTGGCATGTCCATATGGTAAGTGCAGTGTTCGCTTTAAGCAAACCTTTTTCGATTTAAATACGCTCTGGCTGACATTAAGTTTTAATAAAAGGACTCTCACAGTGATTTCTTTAACACATATCAGCCACAGAACACAGTCAACCATAGTGGACTATCAGAAACCCTATTTAAAGAACAGAGAGATGAGCTAAGATTATTTGCTTAATTGTAGTTGTTGTTTTTGTTGTTAATTATTTATTTTTGGCGAAATCCAAAGACATCTTATTTTAAAGTATATCCATTTACTTCGCTGGTGAAATCTTATTTCTTGGTTTATTCTGAGGAGAGAGAGGAAGTGAATTCATGAAAATGCCTTTTTGTGAATGCTGTATTATAATTGCTAAGAAAGGAAACATTCCTTCCCAGGTACGATTTCTAACGAGACTGCTGAATATCGCGCATGCAGATGCCTGCACAACTCCTATCGGTTGGATCGTTTTGGCCCTTGCACAGCATGTCCTTCATACGGTTTTGTTTGTGAGAAAGATACAGCAATACTTGCTCCTGACTACTTTTGGAAATGGACAGACCAGTCTGAAAAAGAACGTTTCAGGGGTTTTGTAAACAATATTCATTCTTTTGGACCACGCTACAATAAGTCATATTCCACGTTCGATATTTTACTTCCAAAGCCACTCAAATGTCCTCATACAAAGTCCTGCAAGGGTGGAATTGACTCAGAATGCCATCAAGGATATCAAGGGACTTTGTGTGCAGCCTGCTCTAAAGGCTTCTATTTTCGCTTCAACTCTTGTTTGAAATGTCCCCGGTTAGCTGTAACAATAACTTCATCCATCTTGGTAATTGTTCTTTTTGTTGCTGCTTTTCTAATGGTTCTTTGGGGTGACTCCAGGCGTGCAGACAATAACCGGACAGTTGCAGACGTAGTCATGTCGTGCTTTAAGATTGTAATTGGCTTTTACCAAGTCCTTGCTGGTATTTTCTCGGCATTGGCGAAAGTCCAGTGGCCAGTCGTTTTGATCTCAACGGAGAGGGTTCTAAAACTGTTTGAAGGGAACATCTTGCAGTTTGCCCCTCTTAGTTGCATCCAGACTTCTTTACGGCTCGATCAGTTTGGAAAGTTCGCGATGATTATCGTCATGAATGTCTCACTCGTTGGCTTGATTTTCTTGTATCTGTTTCTTAAAAAGCGCTACATCACGAATAAGAAGGACCTTGACGAAGACCAGAAAGTAATGGAAGTTAAGAGTTTGAAGAAATCTTGCTATCGGAACATTTTCCTATTCTTGTTGTCGACCTACCCCACGACGAGCAAATCCATCATTCAGATTCTTCCTGTTCCGGGCGCCTGTGTAGAGACTTGTTTCACAGACCACAAGAACGACTGCATCTTCCTGCTGAGAGCTGACTACTCCATTCAGTGTTTCACTCCTCGCCACAGGTTGTATTGGCTCATAGCCTCTATTTTAGCATTATATCCCGTGGGATTTCCACTTCTGGTTTTGTTTCTCACTTACAAATATCGCAACTCCCAGGAAAACAAAGCAGTTTCTTTCGGACTCAGGGTGTTCTTTGAAAACTATAAGAAGAAATTTTGGTTTTGGGAAATCACAGAGATGTATCGCAAGCTGATTCTAATCTCGCTGATTTTTCTTTTCGGATCAAAAAGCCTTTCTCAAATCGGTCTTACAGTTCTGACAGTTAGTATCTTTGGAGTTATTTACACCTTACTCCGACCAATCAAGGACAAGTTTGAAGATCGCTTACAAACATTTGTCCTGTGGATTATATTCTTTGACGTTTGTCTTGGCGCAGTTTACACAGACTGGGATGAGAGTCAAGGAGAGGGCAAGAACGACTCCATCTTTGTAAATGTCCTGTTCGTGGTTCTTAACGCCTCTGTATTGTTGCTTGCCATTGGTAAGTCTCCATGCTGCTGTTTTATTCAATGTGCATTTTAGTCATTTGCTAAGGAAATCAAGGAAAGGTACCGTAGATTGTGGTGGTTTTTCCAATCCCCAAGGTTATTTGTTTTCCACGAAATGAAAGTATTATGATAAAATCATTAAGTAGCCTTCTTCGGGTTATGTAGGATATTTGACTCTCTATAACACTGGCTCATACAATTGTAATCTTACAACAGATCGCGATATTTGGTCAATTCTTCCCGCAACTTAACTTTTCCTGTAAGTAGAACCTTGAGACCTTGTTACCCTGACAGCTTTTTAGGATGCAGTTTACAAAATTGTAGCTATGGAAGCTGCCAAGGAGGGAGAATTTGAGTTACGTTCTATATTCATCCCCTGTAGTGTTCCAACATTTGGATGTATTGGTAGAAGACAAAAAACTTTGAGGTAAATTTGGGGTATAATGAATATTGAGATCTTAGAAAAAAATCCAAATCATTGTACTAAAGAAATGTCAACACCCATTCTCAAAGCGCTTGTTAGCAAGAGCGAAAACAAAGACAAATTTCAGAAAAAAGGGACACCTTACTTTTTTTAACGTTTTCGTGCAAGATTTCAATTTCATGTAAAAGTAATTCAATCCGTCCTTTTTTCTACTTTACAGGAAACGGAATTCTACATTTGAAGTCAATTTGGAAATTCGTTACCTTCAACCCGATCCGATGTTTCTGCTTCCTTCGCCAAGGAGTATCACATCTAAGAAATAGAGTGGTCAAAAGAACAGGAACATCCAATGAACTTTCCTCTTTATTGAAGGAAGAAACTGAAGAACTTCACTGAAATATTTGTCTAAAAACTCTTTTGTTGTGCCTCATGAAATATCTCGCTTTAGATGGCTTAAACACGCAGAGCTTTCGTTGAAATTTATCTGGCTGTTGTTAGACTTCTGGATGACATTTCATTGCAACTAAAGGCACTAGCGACTCCCGCAAAGGCTGAGTTCTTCGAAACGCAAAGCGTAATTTTTTTAAGTCTTTCATTTAAATTGAGATTTTTAGATAACAAAATAGTTTATTTTTAGTAAAAAAAAAAAGGATAATACTAATTTTTTTGGTGAGTTAAAAAGTAGGATCCCTCGCACCTTCAAGCACATATGACTTTGACGCACGATATATAGATATATATTTAAGCAATAAAACACACTTTCTATCAGTTTTTCGGTCATATCGGTCATTGTTAAAACTTTCTTTTTTTTAATGCTACTTTTCGACATAGGAAAAGAATGTCGGACAAAAATATTCACCAAAAAATAAATATCTCTTTGCCAGCTTCAGGGGATTAAGTTTAGATGCTAAAACAAAGGATTATGTTCACAGAAATACCGTAGGTCTAGTACATTCGTCACATGAGGTCACACAACTCGGGTAATATTCACGGTGAAAATTTGCATATTTGAGCGGTCGAACGAAAAAAATTATTTCTCAAAAACTAAAATAAATTTTTACAAAAACACTACACCAAAATTATTAGAACATATTGGGCTACAAAATATGACAGTAGGAGTGAAAACAAATTTGGGTGACTTGCCGCTGTTTGTTTGATGCTGGTGCCATTAGCTCTTAAAATATTCAATTTCAGATCAGTATTTGGACAAAGAACTTACACATTTTTCGACTTTAACTACTTAAACAAAACTCTTCATTTCGCTTTTTTTTTGTGCTTCTGGCGTTACAAAATTTGCTGACAGCTGCAAATAGTCTCTAGATCTAGTTCAATCCTTCGCTTTAAAGCAGATCACTCGGCGGCAGAGTTTTAAGTTTACAGATCCAGACTTGTTCTTCCTCTCTTTTTAAGGAACTGTGTCTGATGAATCTTTTCTGTCCATTACCTCGTTACTGATAAACCCAGTGGAGGGTAAATATTTTGCCCCTTTTACAACGAGCTTACGTCGCTAGCAGTAAAGAAATGGGTTTAGGGATGAATTGAGGAGTGTCAGTCTAGGCTAGAGGGTGTAACAGATATGATACAATGCACTATTTTCAATCACCTTGTCAGCTAGGGGGCTAAGGTTGCCAAAAGAAAAGAATCACAAAGCACATCAGCGACTTGCGTATTTTCAGCGTTTGCAGCTGTTGCGTGGAACGGCTTTCATTGTTACGCGCGTGAATCTCTACGTTGACTTAATTTGCGCGTGTGAATTTGTCGTTCGTGACGCCTTGTTACCTCTTATGTCTTGAAATATAATGCGATTTTTCTCGCGAGGCTGAATCCAATGTGACTGAAAGTAATTGGAGAAAAAAAAATCGGTGATTTATACCTTCAATGCTCTGTATATAACATTAAAGATTAGCCACTGACAGCTCAGACTGTGGCGACGATTGCTAAAAGCTAAGTTTTTTCTTTTTTTTTTAATGCAGTTGTGTAGTTGAGGGGAATAGACAGTTGCAAAGAACTAAGGCAATCAGGCTGAGCGTTGTCAGAGACAATCCTGCTCAAATTATCTGTGTATATAGATAACGAGAGAACTGCAGTAGTAAACCAGGTTGATTGTTACCAGCAATGTAAACCACAAAGACTAGTTGAACAACTAAACCGACCAAAATGTCGATAAGAGCCGACGAGAAAATGAATATATTGAAGACAATTCGGAGAGCAGAGAATTTAGGGATAACTACCAGTACGAGGTTATTCCCCAGTATTGCTAAGACTAGCAGCGCTAGCACGGGATTGACAATGCAGATGGCAAGAAGATAATCATGTAGTGTTGGTAAAAGCTTGAAGCTGGACAGCTCTTGAGA